AGCAACAGCAGCAGCAGGAGCAGGGTCGACGAAATCTGCTGCTGCTGCTGCTGCTGCTGCTGCAACCGTCAGCAGCCTGCATGCAGTGGCTCTGTGTGATGCTGCTGACGCGCTGCTTCTCTCCTGCATCCAGGCCTTTGGGGCCGACAGCATATTGGGGGGAGAGGGGAGGAGCCCGCAGCTGAGCCCTTCTTCTCCCCGCAACAGCAACCACGTGCAGCGGAGCTCAGACAGCAGCAGCAGCAGCAGCAACAGCAGCAGCAGCAGCAACGGGAAGAGCAGCAGTGGCAGCCAGAAGGGCGCAGCAGCAGAAGAAGGCCGTCGCTTTGTCTCTTCTCAGGTGTCTCTGCAGCTGTACCTAGACCATGCAGGAGACATAGAAAGTCTGGTTGAAGCAGACGGAGATATTATGCCGATTGTGCTGCCTCTGTATGCGCTGCATGCGATGAGGGTGCGGCTGCTGCTGCAGTCGGGGGGCAGACTGTGGAGACTTGCTGCTCTCTTCCCCTGGAAATACACACGCCCCCAACAGCAGCAGCAGCAGCAGCAGCAGCAGCAACAGCAGCAACAGCAGCAACAGCAGCAGCAGGAGATAGTAGCCGCGTTAGACGCGGCGTTGTATATGTGGCGAACGGGAAAAGTTGAGGCGCTGCTGCAGCAGCAGCAGCCACAGCAGCAGCGGCAGCAGCAGCAGCAGCCAGTGCTACCTGGCGATCATCTGCTGCCCCTACAGAGTGCAGCAGACGTGATGAGAGATGCCGTCGACTGTCTTCAGTATCTCGCTGCCAAGAGGTGAGTGAAACACTCTTTCTGAGCTGCCTATACACCGCAGCCTTCAGCTGCCTATACACCGCAGCCCTTCAGCTGTCTATACACCGCAGCCTTCAGCTGCCTATACACCGCAGCCCTTCAGCTGCCTATACACCGCAGCCCTTCAGGGAGGAGGGAACCTTCCACAAACCCTAAACCCTAAACCCTAAAACTACCCCAAACCCTAAACCCTAAAGCTGGATAGAGGTGCATGCG